CAATATACATGGCTTTTAATTCCTTGTACTGTCCTGCTTACTTTTCAGTTTGATGTTATGAAATTTCAATATTTACAAATAGACTCTATTTTGCTCTAGTTTAGTTTTTGTTGTTGTTTTTCTCTAAGTCGACATAAGTAGTAGCATAAGCACATAAACATATGACTGCCAGGCAGGAGAAAGGCTTGGATGCTATGCTGCTCCCTGCTCTGCCACTGGCCATCTGGGTGACAGGCATTCACTAAGTGATTATATCAGGGCCTTGTTCCTGGTGTTCATAAAATGAGAGCGTTGAACTAGATTATCACTAAGATCCTTTCTGGCTCTGATATTCTGTGTTTCATGGCAAATGTATTGAGAGCTGATGAGATGATCTGGAAAGATAAGAGAAATATGAGAAAAGCCTTTTCCTCATTGCATATGTATTTTTGAATACAATAAAACCTTGAAATGAGCAGTTCTAGGTAACTGAGCTTTCTGAATGGTTTTTGTCTCCTTCCTTGCTGTCAGCTGTCATTCTGTACTGCTGTCAGTATGCCTGCTTTTAGCAACTCCTGTCTGTCCTTGTTGGCTGTTTCTCTCATGGTCTTAGAAACCGTAGCATTAAGCTTACCCAAACTCTTCGCCAAGTGAGCCTACACAAGAGTGGGGGAGGGGGGTGTACAGCCCATGGATTTGAGCTAATCAGAGACTTTTAGGGTTTGTTTTTAGGTTCCAGATAGGTGATGTGTCACTATATCCCCATTTGTCTTAAGTTAGATATTAAGTAGAGTTAATAAGCACATTTCTTCTCTGTGCTAATTAATTAAGAAGGAAGAATAGATGAATGAGAGGAGGCAAGGAAGAACTTAGACTAGGGAGGGGTCTATGCAGGGCCTAGACAAATAGCTAGACATGTATCAAAGGAGACCTCATTTCATTAAGAGAAAAAAGCAGGTTTAGGTGAAAAACTAGGCCAAGGAGCTTTTTGAAAAAGCTGGAGTCACCCTTGTTGCTTGGATTCTGAAGAGAAAGCTGGATTGGTTGTGCCTCTCTGCTTGAAGTAGGATGCTGGGAAGTGCAAACTGCCTCAGCCAGTGTGTGTATGTTTATGGTTTGCTTGTCTGGCTGGTGCCTGGAATGTTGCCCATGAACTTCTGAAAGGCCACAGAGACTCTGCTCCCCATGACTCAGAGTGCAGTCCCACAGTGGGAATTTTAACCAAGTCATTTTTTCAGAAAGTTAAATGGCAAGGCATTAACATCTAAAATATGCTTCTTTATTCCACATTTTCTTTAAATTGCTGCTGCACAAAATATAACTCAGGATCAATTTTTATGTTCAGAATACAGTTGACCCTGAACAACATGGTGGAGATGGGGCACTGAACCCCCATGCTGTTGAAAATCCAGGTATAATTTTTGACTCCCCCCAAAACTTAACTACTAATAGCCTATTGTTGACTGGAAACTTTATCAGTAACACAGGCAGTTGATTAGCACATATTTTGTGTATTATATATATTATATACTGTATATGTACAATAAAGTAAGCTAGAGAAAAAAATATTATTAAGGAAATCATAAGACAAGCATGTTTATGGTATTGATTGAAAAAATCCACATATATGGACCCTTACAGTGTTGTTTGAGGGTAAACTATAGTCTTTCTGGCCATCAGAACAATAGCAGTACACACCCTCAATTTGCAGCACTGGCCACATGTATATTTCGTGGTCACAACACAGTCATCTGGGATAGAGGCCCTTTACCCACCCTCTCAACCTTTCTACCCTTCCTGCCTTTATGTACTACTTTCCACACCCTGTACTCTATCAATATATAGCCAAATCACATTTTTCATTCCTCAAGAATAGCCCTGACTGTTGTTCCCACCCCAAATTCGTCCTTCTCCTTAAATTTGCCCCTTCTGCTTCTGCCAACTAAAAATTCTCATCTCTCATAGGTCTTTGTATCTGTTTTTCTGACACCCATGGTTGGACATCTCTCCTTCTTCCATATAGCATTTTACTATGAATGAGTAAAAATAGACAAATGAATAGACATTAGAATAGTTGCTTATTCATTTATTCTGTTAAGTATTTATTAAACATACTTTATGTGCTCAGCTAAATTGTTTATTCTGTTAAGTATTTATTAAACATCCTTTATGTGCTCAGCTAAGTGTCAGTTGCTAGTGCTAGAAAAATAAGACAGTCCTAAAGGAAATAATAACTACCTTATATTAAAAGTGGCTATTGATTTTATTACCTCGAAAGGGTTGTAAGCTCCCTGAAGTCAGGTGTCATGCCTTGCTCAGCTTTATAATCCCCCATCATGCCTTGCAGACAGTATTGGGGCTCAGTAAATGTTTATTAGTTTGATTCAAAAAACACCCAGCTTCTTTCCCATGAAGAAACGGGGCATACATTCCCACAAACCCTTTCCAAAGCATCCTCTTTGGTGCAGCACTTCGATTTAACAACAGTGGGCATGTTAGACTTTGAAAGCATATTCTTCTCTCCACATTAAGTGGACTAAAAACACAGGGGGTTAAGACTGGCAGATACAGGAAGAGTTGTCCTTTCACTGTGAAGCCTCAAAAGTAAGGACTTCTGACCATTTGTGCTAATAATTGCAAATAATGTGCAGATAAGTGCACATTTCAGTCTGCCACCTATTTTGTTATGCCCAGAGTTGCTAAAGTGTATTTAGCTACAAACCTGTGCATCATTTGAAAAGATTGGATGGCATCTACTCAACTGTAGGAGAGCCCAGCAGAAGAATTATTCCAGGAACAATAAGGCTTTTGGACAATACAGAGATGTTGAGGAGAACAGTTTTCTGATAATATAGTTCTTGAACTTAAGTCTAGCATGAAAATAATATAGCTAGGAATAATATACATTGAGTGTAAGTGGATGTTGAAAGTTAGAAACCAAAGAACTTACGGAGGGAATTCAATTAGAGCATTTGAGCCCATATGTGAGGCACTAGAGTTAGGAAAATGAAGGTCTGCAACCTCACAAGTTCAGCATACCAACATACCATGTGGTTAATAAGCAACAAACATTTTGAAGTACAATGATAAAATTAAATCCAGCTCTCACTTACAGGAAACCCTGCCTCTAGAACAAATTATAGACTTATTAGTTTTATCTGGCAATACTTGTCCTTTAAGTGGTATATAATTATTCCTAAACCTTTCAGGAAAGAATTTGAGAATATTTTAACACCATAAGTTGCAGTTCACTAACAAGTGGAAATCTCATTGTCTGCCATGCACTTTGTAAATTTTATTTATTTACTTATTTATTTATATAAATTTATTTAATGTTCAAATGTTAACCTTTCCTCACCAGAATTGCTTCCAATCCTCTGCTGTTTTCACGCTGGCAGACAACTATAAATAACAATGAATTACTATCCCTACAAAAATGCTTCAGGACAATTATTTGCAGCATATAATTGAATCCCACTGCTATCTTTCATGCATCATTACTACTGTAGCAGGAAATACTGGGAGACGGAAGGAGAGACTTTCATTCCACCCCAAGGATAACTGTAGGCCCTTGTCCATAAAGCCACTTTGCTTTTGTGATATGTTAGGGCCAGGTAAGATTTAGTGGACATATGTGAAAACAGGATCCTGTCAGGATGCTGATCTTAAGTCATTGAGCAGATTTACAACCTCTTCACAGAGGTGCAGGTATTCCTCCTCTATGTCCTGCCGATCCCAGCTTCTACTGCCACCAACATGCCCAAGTTGCATGGAACTCCCTGACTGAACTCTCAGAGGGGAGAGACTGGGTGCTTCTGACTGTTTCCCCCCTCAAGTATTAAGACAGATCTGGTCTCTAATGGATATGAGAATTAGCTTGTGGTCCAGAAGCACCAAGCAGATTAACATATGAGTGATTCTCCCTCTAAAATCTAATGCTGCATAAAATTAGCTCTAGTTTCAAAACAAATTAAACGGACTAGAAACTGGAGCAGGGAGGAGGTAGTTCTTTGTACTCAGAGAATAGGTACTTTTACTTCAAGTGTGTCAGAGTGAATTAGGACTATTAATACTTTAATAACTCTGCTAGTTATTGAGCCAGTCCTTAAAACAAGGGAGGCAAAGGGGGATCTGAATAGGCAGATCTCTGACTTAATAGCCACTTCTCAGGTTGTTCTTTAGTTTCTGGGTATGTGCACCTGCCTCCCATTTCCATTAATACCATTAAGGGCTGCTTATTGTGTGTAATACAGGATCATCAAGGTCTTCATTGCTGTACTTTGAAAGGGAATAAAATCATGTCCCTTTCATTCTCTTTGAAACATTACATGTTACAATTAAGAGCCCTTGTGCTTTGCCCAATTACTTTCCAAAGTTTCTTGATGATGTGCCTAGAAGTAATTTTAATTTAAACAAGCAAATATGAATTCTTCATTTAAACATTTTCCAACTCCATCTGTGTTCCTAATAGAATCCTCTGAAAAAACTGCTTAGATGAAAAAAAAACCCCAAATGAAAACCTGAAATAAAATGGACTCTAGTGCCCTTACTGCTGTTTAACAGCCGCCTCTCCACCCCCCACCCACAAGGCCGCCTCATAGAGAAGTTGATGCACAAAGAAGATGTATCAGTGTTCTCAACGAAGCTGAAATCCCAGTCCTCTCCTGTGCAAAGTTGCTATTATATTAGAAATATCCTTTAATTTTAGCATTGGCTTAATAATACCTACACATATATAATCCATTCTCAAAACAACCATTAATTTTGGCTGCCTCATTTTTCAAGATGTAGATGTGGGATAGCAGAAAGAGCTCAGCAGTTAGATGACCTGCATTTTAACTAATACCGGAGTGCCTGTTTGTTAAGCTTGGCATTTCCTGTATTTATTTCATTGAATCTTGTATTGACCTCATAAGTACCGCAGAGAGGATTTTTATCTTTATTTTTCTGATCAAAACTGAGCCTCAGTTTCTGTAACTGTAAAATGGGACAATGCCTTCAGGGCTTCTGGTGAAGACAAAATAAAATAGCATGTGAAGAGGCTTTAAGCACCATATGCTGATGGGCCTGGGGAAGTCCAGACAGGCCCCTCCTGGGGTACTTGCTTCTGTTTCTCAGGTTGCATTATGGGCCCTTTTCCTCCTTTCACTTGGGCCTGGCCACCAACCTCCTTTAATCCCATGATCTGTACCCTGCCCTGAGGTGTACTGGTTCCTTGTTGAGAAACTAAAGCTGGGAACATGATTGACTTAACCCTTCAGGTATTGTTACTTAGGCAAGTCAAGTACCTGGCCTCACCCACCTATGCTGTCCCTCTCCCAGCCTAACTGGTATGGTAGTCTTGGCCATGGAAACCTAGGCCTGCCCCTTTCCTCCTGACCCACCAGGGGTATTCATTGGCAGGAGCTGTTCTGCAGTGGCCCTCAGTTGCTTGTTAGTCAATGCATGTGATATTGTTCTACCGAAGAAGCTGATCTCTGAGAGCTTGAATGGGCTCAGATGCTGTCTCCATCAGGCTGAGCCCTGCCCCTGTGCATGTGTTCTCTGCCACAGAGAAATGTTCCCAGCAGCGGTGTCCAACTGGCCCTCCTATCTTTGGACCAGAGTACACTCAGGGTCTGCTAAACCAATCCACAGCCCAGTGGATTATCCTCATGGCCCCAGTGATGAGAAGGGTGGAGGCCCATTGTAAGTTGTTTGTTGCCTTCCTCCCCTACAACCTGCCCCAATATCTCAGCCATTGCCTTCCTTTTGAGACCAAGTGTGGAAGGCCTATTAGCTGTTTTTCTCTTTGACATCCTAATTTTTGGCCTGTGCAGGCAGCAGCCTTTCTTTAGGACCCCATCAGTGAGAGGCCTGGGAGGCTGAGCCCTGACTTTGAGCTGAGTCAGGGAGGAGCAAAGCAATGGTCAAGGTTGGCCCTTGCCCCTCAGCCCTGTACAATTAAAGGTATGAGCCTAGACCAGCGATGGCAAACCTATGACACGAAATCATTTTTTTGGTTGATTTTTCTTTGTTAAATGGCATTTAAATATATAAAATAAATATCAAAAATATAAATCTTTGTTTTACTATGGTTGCAAATATCAAAAAATTTCTATATGTGACACAGCATCAGAGTTAAGTTAGGGTTTTTCAAAATGCTGACACGCCGAGCTCAAAAGGTTCGCCATCACTGGCCTAGACTGACTTCTGCAGCACTGGTGGGGTGGGGCTGGGACCAGACATCTGTCTCCAGGGGACAGAGTCCCTCCCCTCTTCCAGCCTACCTTGTTTGGAAATATTGAGTTATACTTTAAAATGTATTCAAGAGAGTTCCAATAAATTTTTTCTGTACAGCTTCCTGTCCTGCAAGTTGTCTAAAATCCTAGCCCACTGCCTCCCACTTCTGTGCAGGCCAGGATCAACCACAGGCTCCACTGAAGGGGAAGAACGGTGCCATGTGGTGCCATGTGACTCTCAGAGAGGCTTCTCAGTCACAGCTGTTTTGACTCGGCATGTGGCCACCTATGAGCTGTACAAGCTTGGTCTGGTCAGGAAAGCTCTTAGAACCTCGTTTTCCTGGGTTGTCATGTTCCCATTTCAGGGCTTGTGTGTGAATATTCAGTGAGATGATGTGTATGAAATAGATGTGCATATTAAGCACACTCACAGTAGAATCTCCATAAAATGTAGGCCAGTCAAAAAAAAAAAAGCACCATATGAAAGAGAGACGTTGCCATTAAGACAATTACTTCTGTTCTGATTCTGAATACCTGTAAGTAAAAATCAAAACCAAATGAATGAGCCTAATCTTTTAACTGCTCTTGATTAACAATTGAATTCTTTAGTGTTTCTGATATTTCTACTAAGACAATCTCTATTACAAACATTTTTATGCTTCTCCCCCCTCCACCTGCCACCCCATAAAAACTGATTTGCAAATGTTACTCTAAGTCACCCAGCTTGCAAGAAATACTGAGTCCTTGAACTAAATGCTATACTACAAAGTCAAAATGGATATGTTCCTGTGAGGCAGAAGCTGTGTGGCACAAAAATACATTTACTTTATTCACCCACAAGTTGGAAAGGTGCAGGGAAATGGTAAGGAGGTAATACTAAGCTCTTGGAGGCATCATTTACTTGTATTAAGATGTATTTTATTATCTTTATGCAAATAAATGTGCTATTATTGTGAGTCCGGGCTGGGGGTTCTCTGGCTCTGATCTGTGGCCTCTTTGAATCCAAAAGGCTTCTACAGAGATCCTGAAGGGCAGTGCTTCCCAGCAGGGTTAGAGGCTATGCAGAGAGGGCCTTAGTTTTCAAGCTGAGTTCAGCTTGACAAGTAGCACAGTTATTCTTTTTGTTTTGTTGGGAGTGGGTAGTGGGACAGAAAGGGGAATGCTGGCTAGTAAGATTAGCAGGACTGTGGGGATGAATGTGCTTGGGATCTGACATCTTTACTGGTAGCTTCTTAAGGCTCCTGGTTACTCTTAAGGTCTTTGACAGCCTTGGTAAGTGATACCTGACCTTTTAAGGTCCCTGTTTGTACGTGTAGTTCATGTAGTTCGATAGCCCGAGGTCTGAAGCTTTCCGGAAATGCTTTCCATGTGCCAAAGACAATGCCCAGAGCCTGTGCTTGGCTTGGGCTCTCACTCCTACTCAGGTAATTGTGCATCCTTAAGTAACCTTTCCAACTGAAGACTGAGACATTTATAGCAACCCTTAAGTTCCTCTCATCTCCTCTCCTTACTCTTTTTTTTCTTTCAAAGTTTGAACTTTGAAATCCTCATAAAAAACTTTTTAAAAGAAAGAAATGACTTGAATTGACTGCAGATTTAACAACAGGGTATGGCTTTACTGCCATCTTTAGCTGAAGGACATGGCTTTGTTTGACAGAGATCCTTGAGTCTTATTAACATTGAAAAATTGATAACACTGTTCCTTTCAGGAAAAAATAGAAAAAAGATTGTATGGCTCCTTTTTATTCGAAAGGAGTAAAACTATCACAATTAGTTAGGGCTTTACAACTTTTATCTTGCACATGGCCATTTGCTCTGGGTAGTAGTTTCATTTGGACACATTAAAGTGTGATTCTTTGTGAATTTTTGTTTCTCCTTAGAATATTCTCATCTTGCTTTGTCACAATAATAAGCATAAATGTTTTTGAAAGGGCTTTTAGACTTATTAAGAACTACCCTTAATATGTTATAATAGACTATTTTTAGAGCAATTTTAGGTTCACTGCAAATTTGATCAGAAAGTACAGAGAGTTTCCATATGCTTCCTGCCTCCCCGCACATGCACAATATCCCCCATTGTCAGCATCCTGCCCCAGAGTGGCACATTTGTTACTGTTCCTGAACCTATATTGACACATCATTATCACCTAATGTCCATCATTGCATTAAGATTCACTCTTGGTGGTATACATTCTGGGGGTTTTGATAACTATATAATTGCATGTATCCACCACTGTAGTATCACAGAATAGTTTTACTGCCCTAAAAATCTTTACTCCAACTATACATTCCTCCCATCCCCCCCAACCCTTGGCAACTACTGATGTTTTTACTGTCACCATAGTTTTGCCTTTTCCAGAATGTATGTAGTTGGAATCATACAGTATGTAACCTTTTCAGTTTGGCTTCTTTTACTTAGTAATATGCATTCAACATTCCTCCATGTCTTTTGTGGTTTGATAGTTCATTTCTTTTTAGCACTGAATAATATTCCATTATCTGGATGTACCATAGTGTATCCATTCACCTACTGAAGGACAGATTGGCTGCTTCCAGGTTCTGTAAATAAATACCAGTGTGCAGTTTTTATGTGGAGACCAGTGGCCTGGTGCACAAAATTCATGCACATTAAAAGGGAATTAATTAGAGGGAATATTTTAATATTGCTATTTGCCCTCTTTCTATAATACAAGTGTCAGAGATGAAAGAAAATTAGTAACATGTATATGAAAATAATATATAAATTTATTAATAAATAAACAATAACAGCGTCATGTCCCCAGCTGGCACCTGTCAAGCCTTACAAGCAAGAGGCACTGCCTGAGGTCCCCCGTCAAGCCCCACTGGGCGGGGGGCACATCCTCAGGTTCCCCCGGCCCGGTGCCACACATCCTCAGGTCCCTGCTGATCGCTTATTACAGCTCGTTATGGGAACCCCGCCTCCACTGTGGGCATCCCCACCGAGTGGAGGGCGCAACCTCAGGTCCCCCATCAAGCCCCCCCGCTGGGCAGGGGGGGCGCAGCTTCAGGTCCCCTGGCCCGGTGCTGGGGTGGGTGGTGTGGCCTGAGGTCCCCCGTCAAGCCCTACTGGGTGGGGGTTGCAGCCTCAGGTCCCCTGCCCTGGCCCAGCGCCACGCAGACTCAGGTCCCTGCCGATTGCTTGTTAATGTGGGTGCAGCCATCTTGTGATGGCGTGATGGAGTGAGGGTCAATTTGCATATTACCTCTTTATTATATAGGATGTTTTCAGCTCATTTGGATAAATACCAAGAAGCATGAGTATATTTAGTTTTGTAAGAAACTTCCAAACTGTCTTCCAAAGTGGTTGTGCCAATTTGCATTTCCACCATGAGTGAATGAGAATTCCTCTTCTTCCACATTCTCACCAGATTTTGGTCATGTCAGTGTTTGGCATTTTGGGCATTTTAATAGATGTGTAGTGGTATCTCACAGTTTTGTTTTTTTTTTAAAAAGATACTTTAAAGATTTTAAAATTGATTTTTAGAGAGAGATGAAGGGAGAGAGAGAGTGCAACATAGAACAGCTGCCTCCTACATGCCTCCTGCAGGGGATGGAGCCTGCATGTGATGATGCCCTTTCCAGGAATCAAACCTGTAACCTTTTGGTGCATGGGATGACACCCAGCAACTGAGCCACATAATTGTTTTAATTTGCATTTCCCAGTGACATATGATATGGATCATTCTTTCATGTTTTTTTTTTTTTGCCATCTTTACATTTTCTTTTTTGTTGTTGTTAATCCTCACCCGAGGATATTATTCCATTGATTTTTAGGGAGAGTAGAAGGGAGGGAGAGAAACAAAGAGAGAGAAACATTGATATGAGAGACACATTGATTGGCTACCTCCCGCATGCACACTGACCAGGGCCAGGGATCAAGCCTGCAACCGAGTTTCGAGGTTTGAGCTCTTTGCCTGGAATCAAACCCAGAACCCTTCAGTCTGTGGGCTGACACTCTAGCCGCTGAGCCAAACTGGCCAGGCCCATCTTTATATTTTCTTTGATGAGATTTCTGCTTAGGTCTTTCCCCCATTTTTATTTTTTTTAAAGAATATTTTGTTGATTTTTTTTTTTTTATAGAGAGAGAGGGAGAGGGAGAGGGAGAGAGAAACATCCATATGAGAGTGCAACATTGATGGCTTCCTTCCTGGACATGTGCCTTTAACTGGGAATTGAACCAACAACTTCCTGGTGCACAGGTCAATCAATGCCCAATCTCCTGAGCCACATCAGCCAGGGCTATTTCCCCATTTCTAATTGAGCTTGTTGTCTTATTATTCATATTTTTTTATCCTGTGAAAAAAGTATTTTGGTCTTTTCTAACTAGAACCTGGACGTTTTGGTTCTGGTACATATTCCACTTAAATATGTAGATTTTAAGACAGATCATGCTGGTATATGTTCCCCTGGGCATGCTGAAGGATTCACTTTTATTAACAGGTTTCTGGTGAAAGGGCAGATAGTGATCTACTCTACTAGGTGTGCAGAAGCTAGTTAACTTATTGAATATACAAACATTGAAGGAAAGTATAGTCAGTTCTATTACACAATATACTCTTTCCTAAAAAAAATCCCTGTGCTATGCCAAATCATGAAGTGAAACCACAGGCCTTATGGGAAAATTGGGGTTAGATCACTTCAGCAAAAATCTTTGCCAGTGGCACATTGAAAAATTAAGGAACCTAATAAAAAAACCAGTAGCACGGTTTTGTACATGCTAAGTGGTTAAGAAATAAATATTACAATAAATATGGCATTTAACCTTTAAAACCACCTGTAGTTTGCTTGTGGACATGGGCATATAATGATGGCAGCTTGTGAGTTGTGAAGTGGTAGAAGGAAGGTAATCTGAAATCAGATGGAAAATTGTTAATACTAAATGTGAATGGATGTGACTCTTAACACAATGAACTGAGGGAGCTGGTGGATGCTTGATGTTTGTATGTTTTGTGTGTTCTTACAGGGTTTGTTTCAGCTAGTGCAGTTTTTTTATTTTACCCAGTGTTTCTTGATGAAATCACAAGTAAGCAAACATGAGATTCACATTATGCTCAAATTGTTTCCTAATACATCCGTCACATTGGAACAAATTCAAATTTTCAAAATAAGTGTTATAGCATAGACTATAATTAATATCCTAAGTTGCATTCTGGAGTGCAGGTTCCTTTTATCCATGTAGTAGCTGCTCACATATGGCCTGCTCTGTATGTGCTACTCAGAAGTGCTGCCATTGAGAGCAAATGGACCAAGGCTCTTATCAATAGTCTGTGCTTCCACCAAGGGTCTTTTGTGTTGCTTGGGAGGGCAAGTTAGCATGCAAAGAGTTAACTTCTGGTTTTAGGTTGTTTCAGATTTAGGTTGTTTTAAGATTTACTGCTTATTCAGTATTGCTGGTATGGATGAAGCATTGATCAGGGCTGAGCGGTGAGAAAGCTTCCCTAGAGCCAGTCTAACCAGGGTTGGCTGCATGTTTGAGCCATCAGGTGGACTGTCTTCATAGAGCAATTAAAAGCATATTTGAAGCAGGTCTTCTTTCCAGTCTCTGGCCTTGGATCTTAATAGTATTCAGTTGTGTCTGCATCTCTTTTCTGTGCACATTTCCCCTTATGGATTACAAAGTTCCCTTGCTGTGGAAACATTAAAAATTTTTTATTGAATTTATTGGGGTGACAGTGGTTAGTAAAATTATATAGGTTTCAGGTGTAAAATTCTATAACACATCATTTGTATATAGTATTGTGTTCATTACCCCAAGTCAAGTCTAATTCAGTCACCATTTCTCCTCATTGTACCTTCCGCTACCTCTCCCACCCCCCTTTTCCTCTAGTAATCACCACACTGTTTGTTGTCTGTGTCTATGAGGTCCCCCTCCCCCCCCCAATCATGTTAAAGACTGGTTTCAAAGGGAAAACAACACCTTAGAGAGGAAATTATTTTCAAAAATAGATATTCACATTGCATATAAATATACAGACAAGTGCTCCAATAACAACAAAATGCTGCCCTTCTGTTCTAGGAAATAAATACCTTATTTTCATTGTGGAAGGAGGAATTCTTCACAAAATTGAAATGCTCTGCTCTCTGTGTATTATTTCCTATAATCCTCCCATCCCCCACTGAAGATGCTGGGGACTCAGAGTGGCACTATTAATATTTTTTTGAAAGCTTTAGGTTTTTCTTTAGATTGACTGATATGCCATCCAAGAGCTATATCACATTTATTCTAGGTGTGATTGGGAATGGTTTTTGCTTGCATTTTATTTTTTTATTGCTTAAAGTATTACAAAGGGTTGCTTGCATTTTAAAAAGGTTTTGTAAAGAAGATTCAGGACTCTCATCTCTAGGTCAAAGCAGTCCAATTTTATGGAGCCCCAAATTTCTCTATCATTTGCTATTTAGAACCACTCTGTTGTATATAGAAACTTCACTGGTTCAGGTGGAGAATAGGAGTTGGTATCTTTGCTTAGAGCTGGGGTAGGGAACCTTTTTTCTGCCAAGGGCCATTTGGGTATTTATAACATCATTCTCAGGCCATACAAAATTATCAACTTAAAAATTAGCCTGCTATATTTGGTCAAACATTTAATTAACTCACCCCTAATGCCTTGGCAGGCCAGACCAAATGATTTTGTGGGCCTTGTGGGCCAGACGTTTCCCAACCCTGGTTTAGAGAGTGAGGGCAGTGATTTAAATCCTTGGCTTACTGATTGCTTCTCTTACCCGAGAACGTACTATGCACCAGTTCTGATTTTCATGTTTTTATTCTTTAATCCTTGCAAGACATTGTAAAATTAGTTCCTCCTCCCCCATTTTCCACTTGAAACTTCTCTGAGTCACTTGCATGCAATTTGAACCCAGAAAATTTTTTTTTAAAACTTTTGCTTCATTTTTTATTGAGGTGAATTTCACATAACAGAAATTTCGCCATTTTAACCATTTTAAAGTGTATACTTCAGTGCTATTTAGTACATTTACAATATTGTGCAATCATCGGCACCCTAGTGGTAGAACTTTTTCATCCTCATAAAAGTTAAATCTTATACCATTAAATGACCACTTCTCATACCCCCCTTCCCAGTCCTTGGTGAGCACTGATCTGCTTTCTGTCTCTGGATTTGGCCCATTTTTGATATTTAATGTAAGTGGAATCATAATATCGAACCTTTTGTTTGGCTTCTTTCATTTATAATATTTTCAATGTTCTTTTCCATTGTTGCATATATTGGCACTTTTTATGGCTGAATAATATTCCATTGCATGGACATACCATATATTTTATCTGTTCGTCATTCAATGGTCATTTGGGTTGTTTCCATGTTTTGGCTATTGTGAATAGTACTGCTATGAACATTCCTGTACACATTTTTGTCTCAACACCTGTTTTCAATTTTCTTGAAAAAAAATGTACAATGAATGGAGTTGCTGGGTCATATGGTAATGCTGTTTAACTTTTTTAAAAAGTTGATTTCAGAGAGGAAGGGAGAGGTAAAGAGGGATAGAAACATCAATGATGACTAAGAATGATCGATCGGCTGCCTCCTGCATGCCCCCTATTGGGGACTGAGCCTGCAACCCGGGGATGTGCCCTTGACCGGAATTGAACCCAGGATCCTTTAGTCCTCAGGCCAATGCTCTATCCACTGAGCCAAACTGGCTTAGGGCCTATGTTTAACTTTTTGAGGAACTGCCCAACTGTTTTCTTTCATGGCTGCACCATTTTACATTCTCATCAACAGCGGGTAAAGTGAACACAAATATTTTTTACTCCGGTGGGTGTGCTCATTTTCTTTGGCTATACTGTGTCCTAATAACTCCCCGAAGGTTCCAGCAACCCCTTGCTAAATCTCATCTCCAGCCAACAAAAAAGCATGTTGCAGGATGTCTCATGTTTCAAAGGGAAGTTGTTGGTAATCTGACTTTGGCTTGGGGAAATAACAGGTGTTTGAGATTTATCAATGGACACTGTCCTCTTCCTCAGTATCAGGTAGTAATTAAGAGTATAGGCTCTGGAACTACAACTTGTATTATTCCAATTCCAAGAAATATCCAAAACGGACAAATACAGAGAGAAAGAGTAGGATCAGCAGCTGCCTAGGACTTAGGGAGTGATGACTAAGGTATGGGATTATGAAAATATTCTAATTCTAATATTGATTGTAGTGATGGTTGCACAACTCAAAATATACTAAAACTATTGTATGGTGCACTTTAAATGGGTGAATTGTATAGTATGTGCATGATATCTTATTAAAATACTAGAGGCCCGGTGCACAAAATTCATGCATGGGTGTATGTGTGTGTGTCCCTCAGCCAAGCCTGCAACCTCTCCAATCTGGGACATCCCTCTCACAATCCAGGACTGCTGGCTCCCAACTGCTCGCCTGCCTGATTGCCCATAACTGCTTCTGCCTGCCAGGCGGATCACTCCCTAACCACTCCCTGCCAGCCTGATTGATGCCTGGGCAGCCATTTTGTGTGTTGGAGTGATGGTCAATTTGCATGCTGGTTGTGACTAATTAGTATATCAGGGCTAATTAGTATATCCCTCTCTTATTGTGTTGGAGTGATGGTCAATTTGCATACTGGTCATGACTAATTAGCATATCTGGGCTAATTAGCATATCCCTCTCTTATTATTTAGGATTAAAATAGTATTGTAGGCACTGGAGCCTTACTACCACTTATTAGCTCTGATCTTTGACAGGTTCCTTAGTGACTCTGCTCTAGTGTTCATATATGTAAAAGGGGGTAAAATAATAGTTTTGTACCTACCTTACTGAGTTGTGAAGATCAAAGGAGCTAATATAGACAATACAGTACTTCCCCTGGTACCTGACACATAGCCAGTGCTCAATGCATGTTACTAACTGTCAATATTAGCATCATAAATATTTTTTAAAGATTCAACTGATAGGTGGTGTTAATGAGAGGGCAATGAAGACAGGAAGTAGATAGAATTCCTCTTAAAATTTAAATTCTTAGTTCAACCCTGTTGCCAAGGAAAATAAGCAATATGTAACAATGTAATGAGGCAATAATTTGGATAGGAATGGGAGATGAGGTTATGTAGCAGGGGTGTTGAGTAGACCTGGGGGCTAGAAAAATAATTTTGGTGCTGATGTAGGAGAGGAAACTGTATTAAAAAGATTGCTGTGCCCTCACTGACAACAGATGTTGGGAGGTCTTGGGCTCTGGGCTCCAGGGCTTCTGACACCCTTGAAGTTCTCTCTTGTTCCTTCTCCAACACAACCTTACAGTTGGAGAAGTCCTGGTGTAGATTAGCTTCCTTGGATATGTTTTCCTTTCTATTTTCTTAAAGCCTCCCATCCTTTGTGTCTCCAGGACCCTGAACGTAGGTGCTCATGCTAGTAAAGAAACCAGCAGCTTTTCAAGAGAAACGGAAAATCTGGGATGGGATAGAAGGCAGGAGTCTACAAGACACAGATCTATGAGTGAAAAGAAAGCAGAATAAAACACTGAGCTGCCCAACTGGTCCAGTTACTTTCAGGTTGCAAGTACTCCCGAAAAAGCATCCTCGCTGTGGTCTGTGTCCCTACAGGCTCCAGGCATTAAGCTTCTGCCCAGGGCTTACCAGTCAATGTCCTGTTGAGGGGCAGGCAAAAGCAATGGTGAGCAGCCCCCTCCCCACAGCTACTTGAGGAGACAGGCCCAAAGCAAACACTTCCAGAGAACAAGCTTGAAAGTGCAAGTGGACACGCTGTAAACCAAGTGTGTAGAGTGCCGAGGCAGTATGGGTCACACTTTATTTTCACAAAATGCTTTGTTGCCCTCTCTATGCCTCCTTTCAGTAATCCAGTGCAGTGGGTGGACTGATTCTGTTTTACAGCTGGGGAAACCCTGAGCTACCAACATGTTAAATAATTTGTCACTGAGAGAACATTGAGCCTTGATGTCTGCTTCTGCGAAGATATTTGTGTTGGATTCCATCATGGGGGTAGGAATGCTTATGTCAGTTGAAGCTGCACACGTGCACACCGTGCCCAACACATGCCTGGGCAATCATGGCCGAAACGGGGATTTCATTGCCAGAAGTCTGGTGAATGTGAAATGCCATTGGCAAGGACTGGGGCTGGAGTGGGCAGCCTTGTTGCCCTGGGGAGGTTTTTCTGGGTAGCAGGAGAGAGCTTGGTGGTCAGATTTGTAGCTTCTCCCTGCCCATCCACCCCTCCCCAGCCTGCTGTCTGTCCTTCAGCTGCAGGGCCATTGGCCTGAGCATAGGGCTGCTCCTTGGCTTTGAGCCAGTGGTGAGCTGGGAGCCTCTGACTTTGAGACTTGGCCCTTTTCAGTTCTCTTTGTTCAGAAAAAAGTTTCATCCTGGCTCTTCTTCAGTGGCTGCTGAGGATTAGGAGAACCCTGGGGAGACTTGGCTATAGGACAGCTCTCAAAGCTCTGTTGGGAAATTTGAAGAGAGGCCATTTCTCTCTGTCTTATTTCATGTTACATTCTTCTCTCCCTTCCTAAATGAGATTTTACTGTTGCAAACCCTACGGCATAATCCCCTAGTGTACTTTTGTGATTCTGCAGCTATGTGATTCTGCAGCTATGGAGGGGATTAGATCAGTATCTGGACCAATAAAATATTTTAAGGACCGTACAAATGGACAATATGAAGGAAAGTTCCAATCTAGGTGCTTATTTTTAATAGTTGCACCAGTTAGAGCCACTACTTGCTTTCCTTGGTTAGCATTTCTTGTTCTATTTTGTTTTATTTTTTAAAAGCCTGCTTTTCAGTGACTGGATAGAAAAAGAAAGCCGGGAGGCTTCGCTCCCTTGAACAGAGTTGGAGAATTTGATTGCTAGATGGCCAAAGGCTGTGGTATTCCAAAGTACAAGTGGGCCATTTTCAAGAATGTATAACTACTTGTAATATCTCCAGTTTAATATTTTTAAGAAATGGAAATTGTCTCAGTTGTAAAGTGGTTTCCTATTAAACTTTTCATTTTCTTTTTGTTGTTTGTTTTTTAGTGTTTGTGGCTTTTACCTTAAAAATGTGATTTATTCCAGGATTATGAATAGATTGTTTTTGAAAATATGATTACATTACAGTAGACGAGACAGATATTTTATATTTTCCATATACTACCCTTTGGTGTAAATCTTAAATATCCCTTTATCCATCGTGTTGTTATGTTTCTTTTGGTAATTGGGGAGAATTTTACAGTGAATTGTTTCCATTAGAATTATTTTCTTGGGGACACATTAAGAAATCAAAAGGCTGTAGACTACTACATATACACATACCAGGGGTGTGTAGTTCAGTTTCTGTAATCCCACAATACACAAATGTTGGCAGGATTTCACTAATTGCATTAATCCTGTGAGATACTTTGTCATGCATGATAGATGATATTTACAAATTGAGGTCTGAAATGGTCAGAAGCTTTGAAGATGCTTTATTATGCAGCATGTGGTGATGGAAGTGTTTATATTACTTGTTTTAGAATATATTGGCCAACCAGGCAGCAAAAAAAAATACAGTCTCATAATAGGCTGCAACAATTTCATAACAAACCAGAAGCTTTCTGGCGAGTTTTTACATCCTATGCCAACAAGGTTTGACAAAGGTTTTTTCAAGGTCTTAAAACCCCATGGAAACTTGGAGGGTTTTGATATCTCATATGAAATTTATGTCATCTACATACCTGTTGAATGACTTTATTAGTAAATTTCTGTATAGTGAACTTGCAGTGGAACATGATAGCCCTTCTAGGAGCTTCTGGCTCTTTAAGGTCTCCCCTTGATTAATGAGAGAGGATTTGAGTATAATTAGGAATCACATTGTGTTTGAAGACTGGAAGTGGAAGCCCAAGAAGGGTCACTGATTTATTCTCAAGGTCATAGAGTCAGATTGTCTCACTAGGCCTTGTTTCCTCTCAACATGTGTAACAGACTGTAGGTTTTTTTGCCCCTTTCTCCCACTCTCCCAATTAGATACTTTTAAGCTTTTGAAGGTTTCCATAATCAGAAATTCTAGGTTCACCCTTGCCATACTCTTCGTGACTTCACAGATTTCCCTTTTCTTTCCTTCATCTACTTTCCCCCGTTAGTCTGTTTCTCTCACTGGGCTTCTACCTTCCTGTTCCTTTCATTTATTTGCTACCTTTTTCCAGAAAGTCTCTTGGTAGTGTTCATGAGATTTAGAATAGCATATGGTATTCTAGGCACAGATGAATTGCCCTATTGTATAAAGAGTAGGGTTGCTTTTTTTCTTTGGTGGCTATGGAGGGGGGGTGGGCAGGGAATGTTTGTTTTGGTTTCTCTGACCCTTCCATGTGATGCCAAACACTTGCAGCCACAGCAGTATCATGGATTGGTGTAATTTCCCCCCAGATTTGTAGAGCTAAAAGTCATATACTATAAAACTCACCTTGTGAAAGTGTACATTCCAGTGGTTTTCAGTATATTCACAGAGTTGTGCAACTATCACCATCATCTGTTTTAGAACATTGTTTTTACCCTAAGAAGAAGAAACTGTACCTTTTAGCAATCATTCTCCCTTCATCTGTCTAACAGCCCTAGGCAACCACTAATTTGATTTCTGTACAGATTGATGTGGCTAGGGCCCAGTCTACCATCATTTCCTTGTAATAAAAGCAGTCACTTGGCTGGTCACTTGTCTACCAGTGACCTTCCTGATTTTTGCCCATTTCCCCTTATTACTTTGATATGTCATTAACTATTTAAGAGTCAAGTAAACTTGAAGATGAGTGTACTCTGCACACCATTCCTGTTCTATAGACTCTAAAGTGGGACCCTAGAAAACCTATATGTGAACTCCCTTTCTGATGTCTAAAGTTCAGCCTCATTTTGTCAGATGATCACTTATCCTTTGCCTCTGAGCCCAGTTCTAGTGGGGAACCCCAACTAGAAGCTTTTCTCAAGGCAGAGTCTTTGTAACCCCAGCTCCAAGCCCAATGCCTGCTGCCACATGGTAGACACTCACTGTTCACTGAATAATGAACTCATGCACTGATATTGAGGATTAAATTACCCTAGCTTTTTGACACATACCTGTCATAGTTAACTAATTGAGCTCATTTATACTTCTGTGCTTTTAAAAAAATATATAACTGTAGAATAATTTTAAAAATAGCATGTAAAGCTGATGTCAGAATAAATTCTGGGTGTTCTGGTTATATCCCATTTGGTGTATTAATTAGAAATGTATGCTTTTCTCTCTACCTTTTGTTTCTTATCTTGTGAATCTGGTCCTATCCGGGAGAAAACAACATGATGCTTAGAGGACATAGTTATGTTTATTCTTTCCTACTGATGCTCTAGAAATCAGTACTCCAGGTAGCTGCATTGATTTTTTTTTAGCTCTTTTTTCCTTATCTGAGGATGAACATCTAGGAAGGAATGTTTTTCCTTGCAATCCAGGACATGCCTGTTGTAGTCAGAACATAAATGGGAGTGTAGAGATTCTATCTCAAATTCCTTTGATTGCGCTAACAGTGGGTCTGGTGTAGAAGTATGAAAAGTGCCAGTAAAATGTTAATGGGGATACTCAAAGAGTTCAAGGCATTTTGAGACATAGGACATGTTCACATCCCTCTGGTGTTGGTAAAAATTCAAAAGTGAAACCTATAAGAGTCATTTGGTTTTAATGTTGTCCAATAATAGGATATGAAAAGCAACACATTAAGGACAGTATTGACAATTGCTTTGCGCTTTCAAAGCTTGCTATCTAAAATATCCCAGCAAATTTCAAAAAGTGATAAGCAGGAAGTGCAGCAGTTTGGAAGACATGTGCTTGCTCTTAAGTAAACGCCTAAAATGCTCCTAATTTGTACCAGAGACCCTATCAAAGAGTTTTGCAAAACTTCCAGTTCGGCAATTATGAGTGTTAGTTGAGCTTAACCTCTGAGTCGTGGGTTGGGGAGTGGGAAATTATCATTTCATTCTACTTTCAAGACAAGTAGACTTTTCTAAGAGCACACAGTGGGCTAGAGGAAAAAAGGAGGGAATTTGAGAGGCTCCTCTTTTTGGAGCTGGCACACATTTCTTCTAAGAGGAATTTCCCTACTGAGCAATCTAGATATGAGTGTTTGTAATAAATATTAACCCCACCAGTGAAAATTGGCTTCATGTTAAGCTTTGAATTTTACCTGTTCCAACCCTCAAGCCCTATTTAGTTATGATACAACTAGGAATCAAGGTTGTTGTTTTTACAATTCCTTTTACTTTTAATTTTTATAAAGACTTTTTAGCAGTCCAGAAGACAAACTCTATATTAGGACAATAAGTGACACATATCTTGGTGTCTGTGACCTTTAAGTAATAACTCATTTTCCTAGAATTGGGTTCTGTGTTTCTTGAGAAGTTTTAAAATACAGTTAATCCTTGTAAAAAAGAGGGTCAGAGAAATATTGTAGGAGATGCAAAGTATCTAACTTTTTAAATATAACTGTCAGCAACCAGGATTTTTAAAAATTGAATTTATTGGGGTGACATTGGTTAATAAAAAAGCAACAAGGATTTTAAAATAATACAGTCTTCTTCAGGAAAGATGAAGGGATACTGGTTTCTTTATGAGTAAATGGAGACCATAGTTGTTTTTCTCTAACATGGGGCAATGGAGTAAAAATCTTTTACTATATTTTGGCATTTAGAAAAAACTGTTATAACTGAGGAAGAAGAAGAGAGAGGGAAGAAGGAGAGAGAGAGAGAACACATTCCCCTTTATGCCAAGAGTCTTGATTTTTAATCATTTCCAGAAAATGTTAAAACCTGGAAGAATTCTGAAGGTGCTAAGTCAATGAATGTTCTTATTGAACCAGAAACTATATTTTCTGGTGTTTTCTCTGAACATCTGAGGTGTAGTGTTGGGAAGAAACCTGAAGCTGATGGGCTGAAGGTAGTTGTAGACAATTCTAGAAAGTGTTAAGCTTTGGAGGTGGTCAGGAGATTTCTTTCTGGAAAATGGACACCAGCATGTTATGATTACCCTTAATTTATACCCTTGGGGCTGCCTTGCCAAACAAAAACTTTCTGGAATTCGAAAGCAAAATTTGGATTTCCTATAAGTTCTTTCAAACTGTTGAGCCAGGGCTGATGGAGTGGCTTGGTGTTTGGGCAGGGTGTTGAAGGAATGAATGTGTTCATTTATGGTAGGAACAGTACTCATTTCTATGAAATCACCTGCAGCCCTGGCTCAATTTTAGAATGACTTTTAGAATGTTCTGGAAATTAAATTGCTTATCTTGGGGGCCTCAGTTTCTGTTGGATAAGTTAATTGCCTCTCCCTTTGAGAAACATAGTAAGAGGCATAATGACCTAAGGTTTATTATATTTGTATTAACCAATTTGGAAAAGAGAAATCAACTCAAAGATATTTTTTTTTCTGTCAAAGAAATGGTATGCTCATTAAGGACAAGCTTCATGTATAAAGGTGGCTTTATTTATATTTGGAACTGATGGCTGCGGGCTTTCATTTGATAAGTTTGTTTAGATAACAAAACAGTATATTTCAGCATTGAGGCATGGAGGCTGCTGCATTTTCTCAAAAGACAAGAGTGGTTTAATAAAACACAAGAGTTTGTGGTAATATATGTGTCTTTGCATATTTGCTTTAGGAATGTAACTGAATACAAGTTGTTTCTTAGCAATTTGTAGTTATATTCTCCTGTTTTGTGTGTTCAGTGGTTTTGACAGACTCTAAGAGAAGAGATACTGAGGCTAGTCTAGGCATAGAAGTCAAGAATTAAAGTAAGTTTTTAATTAACAGTTTTTAAATTTGTCATAGTTCCCAATTACCTTTATATTTGAACAGGAAAAAGGCTTAAGACTTTTCTTAATTTCCTAATGGTGCTCATAAAACACATTGAATAGAAATTTGCCTAAAATTAATTTCATATGTGAGTATACACATACACATATCCAGACACACAGCAATTATAATGGGATGACTTGGTTTAATGAATTTTTCAAATATTTTAGCAAAGGTTTCAGAGCACTAATGAAACAAAAGCATTAAGGACTGCTTGTCATAGCTAATAAAGTTTGCTTGGATCTCGTGTAATTTTTCTGCCTCACTTCACAAAGTAATTGAAACTTCCTTTTTGCTTCTAGCTCCCCTCCTCACCCCCAGTCCCAAGAGCTACAGTCTTAAAAGAACATCTCTTTGGTTAGCAAGTCTATGGAATTTTTCTGAATGTAGATCTAGGTTCTCAAATAGTTACTGAGCTAGTGATCATTCAATCCTTGAAAGGGAAATTAGTTAAATCTGTCAGTGGCTTCGAGGGGCTGAAGAACATCCAAGGAGAAAAAAGGCTTGTTACACAATTGGAGCATTTAAAGCATCTCTTGTGAGCCTGAAAATTTGATCCAGGTTGAAATGTAGAGATGATGGAACTGTCCCTCTGGAACAATGAAGGTAGGAAAAAAAATAATCCCTAATCTATAGAAATACTGAAGAACTTCTATAGGTATGGGAATTGTCAGTTGAAGCAGATTAGCCAAAATGATAAGCTTTCCCAATGTTCCACATCCAGTTGTTTGCTTTTTAAAATTTCAAGTGGTTCTCTAGAAAATTGCTCACCCCCCCTCAAAATAAAACAATCCCGGAACTCTTAACCATCTCTTGCAAAATAACTACCTCCTTCCTCCCTTCCAACCATGTTTTGTTTTGGGTTGACAGTCAAAGACAAAACTGATTGTTGACTTTACCAGAAAATTTTGGGGACAGATTTTGCTGCTGCGGCTGCTGAGGTGAGCAAAAACCTCAGATTGCATATCATTTATTCTCAGGACAACAATTTATTTTTGGAGCAATGTGGGTGGGTTGTGAGGAGCTCTTCTGTTTTTGTTTTAAAGCATTTGCTAAAAAGACACTTGACTTTGAAATTTTATTTTCATATGTACTGGTCTGAGAAACCTGACCTCCCACCTCCACTCAATCTAACTTGTCAACTTTCATTTTTAACTAAGTACTCAACTAGTTGACAAAACTTGCTTACTTTAAAAGCAATCATATGGGAATAATTTGGCCTTTTTTTTTTATTAAGTTGAGTGTTAATTATTTTGATCTGCTTTTTGAATGGTGGGTTGTTAATAATAATATTAGTCACAGCTGGGCTGTGAGTGCTTGATTCCAGATTCCTTGGTTGAATGTTTCATAGGTCACTAAACAATTTCCTGATGAAAATGATTTATTTAGACCCTAATTCTTTTTTTTAAAATATATTTTATTAGCTTTTTACAGAGAGGAAGGGAGAGAGATAGAGAGTTAGAAACATCGATCAGCTGCCTCCTGCACATCTCCCACTGGGGATGTGCCCGCAACCCAGGCACATGCCCCCGACCGGAATCGAACCTGGGACCCCTCAGTCCGCAGGCTGATGCTCTATCCACTGAGCCAAACAGGTTTCGGCTAGACCCTAATTCTTGATCATTGTCTTTCCCCTTCCAATCCTGTAGGATAATTAAATGCCCAGCACTGTACCTATAACTAGTTATTTGCTATTCAAGAATCCTCATTTAGCCCTTGCTGATTTATGCAGTGGTTAGGGCGTCGGTCAGTGGACCAAGGGTCATGGGTTTGATTCTTGGCCAAGGGCACATATCTCCATTGCAGGTTGGATCCCCTGCCCCAGTCAGGGCGAGAGGGAAGCAACCAATCAATGTGTTTCTTTCACATGATCTCTCTCTCTCTCTCTCTCTCACTCTCTC